CTGATGTCTGAATACCACGAGGATGAGAAACCACTTCACAAAAGGACAATCAACATTCATCTTGCATTGACAGTCAAATATATTTTATCTCTCAGCAGGCTTTAAATGTTATTAGTCACGACACACATTTATTTTTTATCACTATTCCTGTGATTTTATAAGTATTTTGAATTTCTCTTGCTGTCTTATAAATGAGTTAAATAAACCAGTTACTGTTAACACTTTTAGCACAAAACTTTTATTCTTTTGTTTAAAAAAACTTTTGCTCAATTCATCAAAGATCTACAAATGCTTTTCAGGTCTTTCAGGAACATAGAGGCAAAGAGGCGCTCCATTAAATTGCGGTTTTGCACCTACACCCAACTTTAAAGGTATCATTTTGGGCCTCATATGTAAGCCTGTAGGGTGGTTCTAAGGCAACGGGAAAAGCATGGTTGTTTTCATAGCAGCTGTGAGCCTGCTGTTTTGCCAATTATATACAGCACATCCTATTTCTGGAAGCTGCACAAATGTGCCCTGCAGTTTTGAGGCAGTGCCGACCACTACAGAGGAGTCAGCACCAATGTGGAGGCCTGCAGTGAAGGGGCAACATGGCTCATTTCCACTCAATCTGCTCTTTGCTCAGGCATTATTACAGACTGAATGGGTGTTGCTCCCTGTTTAGCACTCTGAGACTTCAGAGTCAACATGTTTTTGTTAGTTTACTCGTCTACTGCAGATGGACTCATTAGAACAGCCTTAAAACACCAGTTTTAAACAAATTATTACTTGTTCTAATAATTGGTAATATATCTGACAACATTCTTTAATTTGTTCTAGCGTTGCTTATATTTTAAGGAGTGAAGATTGTAGATACAGATAGAGCAGTATACCATATGGTTCAATTACATTTTATTTACATAGCATCAAATCACAACATTGGTCACCTTAGGATGCCTTATATTATTAGGTAAAGACCATAGAAAAACAAAGATAACGCCCCAAGAATCAAATGACCTATGACCAAGCACTTGACGACAGTGGGAAAGAAAAATACCTTTTAATAGGAAGAAACCTCCAGCAGACGCTGGCTCAGGGAGGGGCAGCCATCTGCACTGACCAGCTGGGGGTTAGGGGAAGGAGACAGGATAAAAGACACACTGTGGCAGAGAACCAGAGATTAATAACAACTAATGATTAAATGATTGTGGTGTATAAGCACATTAAACACACCCCTCAGCAGCCCTGATCAAGCCCTGACTATAATGACATGCGTTTGCAACAGCTGTCCCAAAATGACTTACCCTTCCAAGTGTTTTCATGTTCAGCTAAGCCCTGGTTACCATGTGCAACCCATAAAAAGAGAAATCATTTAGAAATGTACGCTCCATGTATGTTTTTTTTTTTAGCCACACATGCAATGAATCAAACTTGTACTTACATATGTAAAATATACACCCACGAATACCTCATGAGCAAATCAGAAACTAACCTTTCATATAATTCTTCAGAGGCTCTGTTTGCCCTCCTGCAACTCATTTCCACTCTTTGATGATTTGGGTGTCCTGCTCCTACTAACCTCCCACCTTCTGGACTCCCATCACATTAGCAGCTTTTCCTTTGCTAGCAACTTTATTTATACACACCCAAATCACAGCCTGTAGCTTCCAACTTTCTATTTTCCTCTTGTGGTCTGAGAGAAATGCTTACAGATGTCTGACCCATGGAGAATTACAGGATAGGAGGCGGCACTGCATAGGGAGGTGGTGCTAACTTCTCCATACTCTTTCTCGAGTCGCAGCTGAGGCCTGTGGGAGTAAAGACGTGCAGGAGGACTGCTTAAACTCGTGCTATCAAGTCAGTCAGGAGACGGAAAAACTTCTTAGCAATGAACTTCAGTTGTTTTTTTTTTATAGTTGTGTGAAGGTAACTCACACAGTACGAATTTCATTGCTCAGTGTAACCAATGTATTTTGTGGTGTATATGACAATAAACTTCTTGAATCTTGAATCTCTAACATTTACACTAACCTAAACTCAATCATTAGTTTTCCAATATTGGTTTGTTAGTGTTTTATGTCAAAACCAAACCATAAAGCTACCGGTTTATGGCACTGTAACAAAAGTACTTTTACTCAAATTACAACAAGATAAACAACTAAACACTTTTTCAAGACATTTTCTATGAATTAATAAAAACCGTATCATTACTGGACAGTCTTGGCCAATGAACTATCAAATAGTTGAGAGTTGATATCTGCTATCAACTTTTTGCTGTAATTTTACACATTTATATTTTTATTTAGGACACAGACATATTTCTTTGCAACAGCAGCTTTTTCTGTCACGGAGAAAAACTGACACATAGTCTTAAAATTATTATTCTTTTTCATACATAAAGATACATTATTACATTGCCACCTGAAGCAAACATTTTCTGGTTCAACATCTGGGCTACAAGGGTACTAACCAGGTGTAGAAATTGTGAAGATGCTGTGCTTTTGTGTTGTATTTAGTCTCACTCTGGCTTATCACTTATTTGAGTCTGACCAAAATTGGTGTTCTACAATGTGCTCCAAGATGTATATGATTATGAATATGATTTCTACACATGACACTGTGGAGAAAAATGTGCTTCAAGTCATTCATAAAGGGTCACATAGTTTCAATGATGTCAGCATTGTCTGTAGGACATGTATCAACGTCACAGCAATCAGGAGTGGTTTATGGAATCCATCGCTGGAGTACAATGACTCAAAATTTTCCTACAATATAGTACGTTTGCTACGGTACAATCCTCAAAAGTCCAGTACTGGTCATTACAATTCATCATTTACACAGAAGTCAAACTGATTCCCAGATCATTTCTTCTTGTAGCACGGTCCAGGTTTTAAGAGCAAGTAAAGACTAAATTTTGTTTCGTAACACTCGATAAGCTTTCTTGCCACACCACAGCTACATGTTTTCCCTTTTATGGATAGCCTAGATAGCTGGGCTGTTGTTGTATTGAAGCAGGACAATGGTCATGTTGTTTTGAACAGTGTTTACATTAAACTGCAGCGCTACAGGAGGGTTAAATATCTCATTGTCTCCTTATTAGCACCAGAATGACCTAACTGAAGTGTAGCACTACGAACATTTACACATAGGGCCAGAATGTAGGTTTGCAAGAGCGGTTTATGCCTAGGAACAGCTCCTTTTGGTGAGTTGATCCAGCAGAAACAGAAGCGTAATGTGAAAAGCTAATTTCTCTTGTGGGTTGGCTCAAATATAATTCATGTTAGGTTAATGTGCTAAAAACAAGCAAAAATTATAGCAACTTTTGGTAAGTTACTTGTACAGGATCACTATGGTCTAAGATACATCATGTTTTCTTTGCTTATTTTCTTTGTAAATATCCATCCATCTCTCTCTCTCTCTCTCTCTCTCTCTCTCTCTCTCTCGCTCTCTCTCTATATATATATATATATATATATATATATATATGTATGTATGTATGTATATAAAGTTGTATGTATGTATGTATATAGATTTAAAGTTGTTTGCTGCAGCATATTCTATGTTTCTGCATCCCAGCATTCAGTGATTGCCTGACCCCTTGTGGACAGAAAGCTTTCAAAGAAAGAGACTGGCATCTAATTCACTGATGCAAGACATTCCTTGGCCTTTTCAAAATAAAAATTTAAAATATAAGAAAAACCTTGGTTTACATCACATCACTGTGAGAGGAAAAAGACTAAAGGTTTATTCATTAACTATGAAGAGATATAATCTATTATCCATATGAAATGTTTCCAAGCAGCTTTCATACATCTATCAAAAAAGTCTCATTAGCTCAAAGAAGTATTCAAGATTATGTCTCTGTTTTGTAATTCTGTTTCAACTTCAGCTGGTTCACTCATTCTCAGTCTAGACCTTGATATGTTTGGAGGAAGTCAGGGGAGAGGTACAGCAGTGAGTGTCTACAGCCATCTGTAAGACAGGGTGGAGGCTCTGTCATAGTTTGGGGCTCCATTTGTTGTTGTTGTTGTTTGTTGTTGCTGTTGTTGGGGGAAACCTCTCAAAACTTGCTTATTAGTCAAAGTGATTCCGACATCATCTGTTCTTGCGAAGTAAAGACAATATTTTGCAATATCTGGCACTCAATAAGGGCTCTTCCTGGACCTGATCACACCTTGGCCTAAAGCGGATCACATTTTTCTAAGAAACTGTGGCTGAATAAAAAGGACATGACTATAAATAAAGCTTTATTCACGGGTTTTAAGTAAACATTTTCATTCCATGCTTTTTTTCCTGCATGTACCATCAGCATTAAGATGCATTTATTTAAAAGGTAATGATTTTTTTTTTTTTTTTGCACTTTTGCTCTTGAAAAGCACCCTGTGTATGAAAGCATTGCGAAAAATAACGAACTGACCCGCAATATTTCCTGTTAAATAGCAATATATGTTGTTTTATTATTTAAATAAGTTGTATAAAGATTACATTTTTCTTTAAGACCGTGATTGGGGAGTTGCTGGTGCAGGACAGCAGTTTTCAGCGGTACCGGGTGGGTGCAGTGTAGTCAAAGTTGTGATCCTCCGCTCTCGATTAAGATTATGAAAAATGCATCAGAGAGAAATTTCTCAGTCTTCCCGCAAATGTAAAAGGAGTTGCTGAGGTATAATGATGCAGCTCTTAAGGGCTTTTTTTGTCCATTCTTAACCTGTGTATTACCAGCAATTGTGTTTTTAAGCAGAAAAATTATGTGTATACCTACATGTCTGTATAAGCTCTGTATTAGGGACGCAAGGTGCGACGTTTACGAGGTGGTCTTTGAGACAGAAATCAGAAAGTAGAGCGCGATTAAAACAGCAGGAAAACGGAAAGCGCCAGGTGTGCCAAAAAGTGATTCCACTCTGCTGCCCTCTTTGGCCAGATCTCTCTTGAAAAATACATTTTATTGCCAATGACACTTATTTGCCAAACTCATTGACTTGTACTTGTGATCAGAATGTGCTTTCTGGGTTAAATTGACACGATATAATGGAAATACCGAAAGCAGCAGGTTCACGACCTTGCCAAATCACAAAGCTTCTCCCCGGGCAGAGACACCTGACAGATAGTTTTGACACACGGGGCGTTTCCTAACATTGAGGCACTTGAAGAGGAAAGTTGCCAGGTCATCGGATTTACCCCCAACACATCTGATCCAGGATCGACAGACCATCATAGTGAAAGGACAGCAAAGTCAGCATGAACAGGTAGGAGCGTGGTTAGAAGTGTGGTCAAAGGACACCTGTAGATTCAGTCAATGAATTAAAAACCTGTGCGCCAAGACGAGTTAGCAACTCATCCAAGAGTTTTTTCATTGTGATTAACATAATCGCAAGACTTGCGACAAAAAGTGCTTTTGTGATGCAGTAGCTTATTATTTATTATGTGTAAAGACGTTTACCTCTACCGTGTTTTAGTATTTCTATCGTCTCCATCTTTATTAATATTCTACCATCTCACTACATTTCGTAATTGCTAGATTTTAGAGAAAAAACCGTAAACGTCAGCTTACAGCGGTGCTGTGCCATCCTACATTTTTTGGTGTCGAGCCACCAAATCATTAGCATTTGTCCATTACTGGTAATACCGATACTTTTAACCTATAAAGCTAATGTAGGGAAGAGCAGTGTGCTACGACTTCATTTGATGAATCATAAATAATGTGCGAATTCTGAACACATTTTAATGACCCCTAAATTACTGTGAGTTTTACTTTCCACAATAATTAGTTAATACAACAAAACACACCTTTCAACATTTCATGTTTTTTGAAACTGAAAAGCTGAAAGGCATTTTTCATTTCCAATACTACTACTACTACTAATGATAATAATGATAATAATGATAATATCATAATTATTTAACTGGCTGGCAACCTGGAAACGCAGTATTGATACTATTGTGCTAGAACCTAAGCAATACCAATACCAGCATTGGTATCAATACTATCAATATTTGAATTGTCCATGCACCTCTAGTTTTGAGTGCAATGCCCAAAATCTGGCCAAAAATAAAGAATGGTAAATTGCTCCTTACATCAAAGTAATAATAATGCATTAAATAACAATAATGACATTATACACAATTATGTTAAACTTTCATTAACTTGTCTTACTTTTATTGTTTTTTTTCTTTTGGGTAATTCTTGGAATGTGAAAATATCTTGCTGGAAATTAATTTTACAAAAGAAAAGGAAATGTTTTTTTGTTTTGTTTTTTATCACAAATAGTCTCAGGGTAAATTATTTCTATGTCTATTTTTATTGATTCTGAAAGAAGCAAAAAGGAGGATGAGAATGACGACAGGATGAAAAGCATTACATTTTCACCATTAAACACTCAGAACGTATCATTAGTTGTTCAAACTTGTTTTATTACAGGAAGGAAAGAAAGGTTTGATAACCAACTGATAACCACTAATCATGATACACATCATGACTGACTGGGCTTTTAGGTTTTGTCAAGCCAGTTAATGTAAGAAAGCCAGGCCATGTTGAAGTTCACAATATACTCCTCAGGTGTTCTCTTGAAGGCAGTCCTACCACAAGTATATCATCAGTGTGGTTACAGGTTTTGCAATCACTTCAAAAATGGAAATTTGAATTAGCACAGGGCAGGAAACAAATCCCCATGGTGGAACTGTTGTGTAGAGTATGGGGGAGCTTTGCAGTTTACTTTATTTATGTCCTGTTCTTGATTCCAGTCTTTGAATGAGAGCTAGACCATCAGGCAGAAAACTCCTGTGGTAGTTTAACTGACTGCCATGGTCATGTGCACTGATTTTTAATTAGATGCAGTGAGCCAAAACAATTATTTACGCAGGGCTCAAAGGTGAACACAAAATATGTATGATGTAATCAGCTCAGCTCACACAGATGCAGATGTGTTACACAGAAACATTTAATTAAGCTCATCAAGGAGACAATTGTAATACAACTAGACAGGCTGACAGCCTAGTCATGTGTGTTACACATTCATATCCACGTGTCAAAAGTGAAAGAACAAAGAAGGTATGCTAGCTATGCTTTCCAAATAAACAACTTCTGGTGCTAATAAAATGAAAATGAATGAACCTGTAGTAAAAAATACATACAATAATAGATGTTAGGTGTGTTTTATTTTGTCCTATTTGGCATTTAGTTGTAATTACACAGGCAGCAGGGCAAGCCCAACCACTTTCAGATGCTCCAGTGTGGTGATGAGCCACTGGATGTAGTGCATGGACAAACCAGGTAAAGAAAATATGATACACCCAAGCCTTGTGAAAATAAATAATAAATAAATGTTTTTATGGTTAAGTATTGATAAGATTTGCAGAGTGTGGTGTGTGAACTTTTTGTGGCTTTCTAAATGTCTGTCTTTCACTGCACAAGTGACACAGCATTTAATACACTTATATAAATGAAGTACCACTGCACCATTCTAATAAAATTAGCTAGCCACCCCTTTCATCCAAATATACTCAGGTCAAGAAGCCAAGATGGTGATGGTTATTTAACCTTACAAAATAAAAGCAATACATTTCATATAATTATATGATATAATTCAAATTTTTAGGTAAGATAAACTGCAATTTAAGGAAAATCAGCAGTTCATGTTAGAGTAAATAACTGGACTGTCGACCGTTGAATTTGATATGACTGATAAAAAAGTAATATGTGTAATGTGTTTTTAGTACATGCAATATCTAAACAAGCAGTATGATCACATCATCATCTTTACTCTACTTTTTCAAATGTTTCTTATTAAATATCACGTTCCCCATGCAGATGTTTGATCAGCGAGGTGGAGGTCAAAGGCTTCATTGAGAGGTGCATGACAGCAGTGGGTACCAAGCAGCATCATGCTCGCAGTCTAGCTGAAGTGTTGGTGGAAGGAGACCACAGGGGCCACTACAGCCATGGACTCAACAGGATGGGTCAGCCTCCTTCAAAACTGTGTTTTCATCATTGTTGCTTCATTGTTTGATCCTCACTGTACATATCATTGTGTCTTATTTGCACAAAAACTAAGCATCTTTCCTCACTGATGCTGGAGACATCAGCAGTAATTTTAAATTTAAGTCTGTGTGTCGTTTATGTGTACTCACTATATTTTTAACAGACATGTATGTGAAGGACATTCAAACTGGCATCTGTGCCAAGGATGGTGAGCCAGTGGTAGAAAAGGAGAGTGAAGCGACAGCACTGGTGGATGGGAAGAATCTCTTAGGCCCGGTGGTGGGAAACTTTTGTATGAATCTGGCCATAAAAAAGGCCAACGACGTTGGCATTGGCTGGGTGGTGGCACACAGTGAGTCCCATTTCAAGGAAATGTTATAGTGGCGACACAGTTAAACAGGTTTCCAGATCATTTATTATTGAACTGTTTGCATTTTACTTCCAGTAAGAACCAAAATATAGTGCACTATGTTAGACATAACTGGTCTTATACTAAACAAGCAATATATGTCTGTCATTTGTTGCCCTGTTTAAAAACCTGTTCATTTTACATAGATATTTACTAAAGTATTTGATTATACAAAATCTTGCCTTTATAAGTGCATGATTCCTGTTCAGCAACTAGTTGACTGTTTGGTTTGTTTAACACTCAGTGAGGTATATAAGACTCAGTTAGACTTTATTAACCCTCTGAAGTCATAAGTCACTATTGGTAATAATAACCCTACCCTTAACTTCTATTTTGGAGAAATAAATCTTTAAGTAGTTTTTAAGAGTGTAAATTAGAATTATTGCTTTCCTTGTTGCCTGACTGCCAAAACTTAAGATAACAATTAAAAATAACAAAGAAACCTACATAATTAGATTGCACAGGGTTTGATTAGGATTGGGCCCCATGATGATTTAGCTCTTAGAGGTTTAAGAAACTTTCATTTAAGGGGAACAAGTGCTCTGATCTCATCAATAAAATCTTGAGTTTTTAAATATAATTATTATATTTCAACACTTATTTATAGTGGAGAGATAGTTCTCAAATCTGACGACTAAAACAATGACAGTGCATTACCACTGCTGTTCAGCTATTAAATTTATATGTGACCTTTTTCTTTTTAGACTCCAACCATTATGGCATTGCTGGATACTATGCAATGCAGGCGCTGAAAGAAAACATGATTGTGAGTGAAATGTTTGTCTGTTGATCTTTTTTCCCCCTTTTCAGTTGATTTTTTCCCCCAGAAAGAATACATTTTTCAATTATAGGCCCAGATTTAGTATGTTTTAGTATAGCTTTGTATTTCCTTCCAGGATGATAGATGTCAATGACTTTGCTTCTCAGCTGCTTCTTTAGATCATAGCATGATCAGTTGCTTTTGCTTTTTGTTTAACTTTCTAAGAAAAAATCTAAACTCCACAGGGGATGTCATTTACCAACACATCACCACTGGTGGTTCCCACACGTGCTAAAGAGGTATATGTATTAACTATTTTAGAAAAGAATCCATAGTTAATGCAATATACGACATTTTAATTAAGATATTTATGAATTTGATCATAAAATCTTCATTATTCAAACTCTGTGAACTCTGCAGTGTACTTTGGGCACCAACCCCATCAGTGTTGCGGCTCCTGCTAAAGATGGAGACAGCTTTGTTTTAGACATGGCCACTTCAGCAGTAGCCATTGGAAAGGTAAGATCAACATCTCTACTGCTGCATATTTGTTTATTGCACATGTAAGCTGCTAACAAATTAAATGCAAGCGAGCAGTGATTGACCACTGAAACAACAACATTTTTAATGTGGAAACATTCTTCTCTTGTACTGTATATAAATGTGCATAGGTGGAGCTTCATGAGCGGCGTGGAGACCCCATTCCTGAGGGCTGGGGCTGTGACCCTCTGGGAAAAATTACAACAGACCCCAAGAGAGTGCTGACTGGAGGAGGACTGGTGCCTGTTGGTGGCAGTGAAGCCACAGGTCAGAAGCAACAGATCTTGTCAAGAATGTTTTCATTCTTCATGTGTGAAATATGTGTTTGTTTGCTTGCTTTTTTAAGTCTATATAATTGAACCACAACCCTAACTGGCTGATTTGTGCTTCATCTATACCAAGATACACAGATCTGAGAAACTCATATAGGAGATTAATTGGAAACCAGTTATCAGAACTGGTGGAATTACATGCCATTGATGGCTAGGATCAGTATAATACATTTATTCCATGCATATGTTTTTCTGTGTTTTTATCTTCAGGAGGGTACAAAGGCTATGGTCTGGGAATGATGGTGGAGGTGTTCTGTGGCATCTTGGCTGGTGCCCAGTACAGCAAATACATCCGCAGTTGGAAAGTAACAGACCGTGTTGCAAACCTGGTACATCTTGTTTTGCCTAGTTGTGAAATACAAAGGACACACTGGTTCTATTTTAACATGTCCCTGATGTAACTTGTGACAAAACTGATAACAAAGTGTTCTAAAAGTCATGTTGTTGTTTTATCTGTGAAATGAAACAGACTGAGAAACAAGTTGAAACTGTTGTATCACCTTTTTATTAAGAATAATTCAAACACCCCCCCTTGCTCCCACAGCAATGATAAAATACAGTTTTTGAGTAGCTAGAATAGATAATACACTGCAGATAATGTGGTGCTGATTATTAGATCTGGGGCAAAGTTCATAAAGTAATCAGCCATCATGTACCAGCAGAAGAGAAATCAGCATGACACAAGTCTGAAGTGTTTGACTGCTGTTATCTAAAACAGAGGCCCAGCTAGTGACTCTGATATAGGTCATCTGACGTCAAGGCTCTGTTTGATGTTCATGTTTGATGAGCTCACAGTGTCACCTGTTTCATATTTTCAGGGTCAGTGTTTTGTGGCAATCAATCCAGAGAACTTTGCTCCCGGGTTCAGTGACAGGATGTCAGATCTGCTGTCCATCCATAGAAACCTGAATCCTGTGAGTTGCTCCCAGTGATGGAATATTAAATGCTAAAAAAGATTAATCAAAAATGCAGTTGATATCCAGTAGTTACAGTTTCTTTGTTTTATGAAATAAAGTAGGGACAAACATTTGCAGATTAAAAGTGAATTTCTTGCTCTATACTTTCTTTTTTTTCTTTGTTCCTTTTTTGTGGCTTATCTGCTTCAGGCTGACCTAGACACTCCTGTTTTGGCTGCCGGAGATCCAGAGAGGATGAACATGAAGAAATGTGAGGATATGGGTGGGATCCCTTACCACATCAACGTCGTCAAATACATGGTAAAAGCTAAGAAGTGGGGATGTTCTCATGCTAGTCTAAACTGCAGTGGCTAAAGGTTGTCCTTTTTCACATAGAGCTCCCAACATGAAATGCTTTTCTTCAGACCTGTTGCTTTTACTGGAAATACTCCATTTGATTTGAGTGAGAGTGCTTCTTTGGTGGAGCCAGGAAAAAAAAAGTGTTAATTAAATAGCTCCTGCTCTGTTTTCAGTTACACTCACACATTTTGCTCTAGAGAAAAGCTGATAGAGTCCCAGATATTTAACCTCTAGTGTTGCATGAGCTATGTTAAATGGTATTGGTAAATGGACTGGTTCTTATATAGCATTTTTCTACCCAGTCAAAGCAATTTATACAACATGCCTTATTCCCTCATTCAGACTCATTTATACAAGCACTTTTTCCCACACCCAAGTGCTTTCTATCTAACATTCGTATTCAGATGAATGCATCAGAGAGTAACATGGCGTTCAGTATGTTGCCCAAGGTATTTTAGGTATGCTGAACGGAGCAGCCAAGGATCCACCGCCAACCTTCAAATTAGTTGATGACCTGGCATCACATATGAGTAAAGCTGTGACTTATTTGTGAGAAACTGCCCCTCCCTGGGCCATCAAGGTCACACAGCCAAAGTGTGAGTGAGGGATGAAATGCCTGGGAAGGGATTTCAAGCCTGTGTTGCAGGTAACTGATAGCTATTGTCATAGGCTACTGTATTCATTGATTCAAGGTAGATATAGAAATCTAGCCTCTTTTACTCCTCTCAACCAGTCTATCTTCCATGTCCAAAATGAGAACATTTCTAACCAACGTAGAGGTTAAATACTGGGAACTCCCCATCAGCTGTTAGAACTCAAGAAGCCTTTCAGATGAAAGGTGAAATATTTTCAAATCCAGTTCAACTCACATGCTTGAAGACTACCATAACCTGGATGACTGAGAACCTACACAGACTACAGGAAGATTTAGAGGTCCTGTTTTAGCTTGGCATTAACACAAGTTTATGTTTTTAACTAGAAAGTAAATGAGAGTATTTTTACCTAAATACAATCTGACTTTATTTAAAACCTCTTTAAGCATGATGCTAACTTCATTAGCATTTTGTATTTTTCCTGCAGAATGAATGCGCCAAGAAAATCGGTGTCAACCCACTGTTGCCATGTGACAAGATCGTCTCGGGTTAAGTTTATCCAAACAGGATTCTCAGCTGTGGAAATCAGCCACTAATGCTCAACTTGAAGTGCAATTCTGTTAATACACCTTATACATTTTAACAGTAATATTTTATTCATGATTATACATGTGACATGTACTGTTATTTTTTTTTTTTACTTTACTAAAAAAAAAAAATGATGTTGTTGCAGATGCTTTTGAAGTTTCATCATACGTAAAGACACAGTGCTTTATCATCTACAATTAAATATATCATTCCTTGTTGCTGATGAAAGACAGTACTGTTCCTGCACAGCAATCACAAAAGTATTATACTCACTTCTAATTGAAAATAAGAATTTTCTGCTTCTTTGCTACTGATGTGAAAATTGTATTTTTACTGTGAGATCATCTTAAAAACATAATTCTTTTATTCCCAGATCAATAAATGCCATACTATTTGGAATGTAATGTGTGTTTTTTTATGCATTAATGCAATCCTGTTTTTAATAGACATACTTTAGCGACCTCTTGATCTACCAATAGATGAGGATGTAAGCTTCTCTCACTCAATCTCATCTGTCAGGGTTCATAGCCTAAACAAGTAGTTCAAATAATTCTCCATAACTTTAGTTTATAAATGCATGAAATGCACGCGAACTAGCACAGAAATATATCTGATCTTCCAAAAGCCTAAAATTTCATTTTTACTAAAAGTCATCAATATTTTTTGTTGCAGTTAAACTCTACTACATTCTAAAACCATGCAAAATTCAGCCATGTCCTTCTTTCAGTTTGAGCTTGTGAAACTGTCAAACGCTTTGGGTTTACATTCTCCTCCAGTTTTTTGCTCATGTAAAAACCTTAAACACTAACACAAAGAATGAGTTGTGTAAAATAATCTCTCAACTTTCGAATCAAATTCAACTCTACTGACTTGAAAATCTGATATCACAACACTAGATGGAGACATAGACTCATTAAGTCCTGGGTCACTATTTGCTAATGCTATAACCTGACAGTTGTATGATATAGTCCAGGGGTCCCCAATCCTAGTCCACGAGGGCCGGTGTCCCTGCAGGTTTTAGATCTCACATTGGGTCAGCACACCTGAATCACATGATTAGTTCATTACCAGGCCTCTGGGGAACTTCAAGACATGTTGAGAAGTTAATTTATCCATTTAAATCAGCTGTGATGGATCAAGGACACATCTAAAACCTGCAGGGACACCGGCCCTCGAGGCCTGGGTTCAGACCCCTGATATAGTCAGTTCAATTCAATGCAGTTATATTTATGTAAATCGGAAATTTATTTAAACTGCACATCACAAAAACAGATGTCTCAAGGTGCTTTATAATGTGAGGTAAAGACCCAACAATGATACAGAAAAAACAGACAAAACCCCAACAATCAGATGACCCCCTATAAGCAGGCATATAGGTGTAGGTGGCATATAGTTTTCTAATGTTTTTCTTTTGTTTTGTTTTGGGTTTTTTTTACCATACATTAGATAATTTTAATGTAATATCACATAATTTGGTGGTAATTTCCTTGTTACACAATTTTTCCATCACTTATAAAGGACATAACCTAAGGACTGATTTGCAAACTACACTGCCACAGTTTAGACAACCTTAGCTATACACACAGATGTGTGTTTGTACTACATCGTGGTATAAGTACAATGAACTGCCCACACAGGATTACAGATGTATTTGTTAACACAGTGCACCACCAGCATTAGAAATCAATCAACTTCATTTATTGCCCAACTGCTTTCAGACATGTGGCTTTATTTGTAAACTGCCTCTATGCTCTATTTGAATCGGGGAGTTTTCTTTTTTCTCAGGGGGTCTTCAGCTTGAACAGCTAATTAACACTGAAAATAACTCAAGAAAAGGCCCCTCTCCAAACGGCAAAGAAAAAGCAGTACTGGACATTGACAGATGCCCAGATTAGGACCTTAATCTCCCATGCCAAAAGTCCTGTCACTGCGCTCTGGACTCTGGATGTCCCGTTAACACTCGGCCGACTGCAGACAAAAGGGGAGAAATCAACAAATCAATGGGCTTTCAGTCCCACCAGGGGAGGGAAAGGAGGTGGCGGCAGAGTGGGAAAGGAGGTGGGGGCAGAGTGGGGTAGTGGTTGGGTGGGGTCAGAGTGGTGGGTGCTGGGCTGGGCCAGATTTGTGAGTGGGTATGGAAAAGATGCATAAATATTAAGTCTGGGCAGAGGGGGAAGGTGGCTGTGTGCTCGGGTGGAAGGCTCCACTGAGTCCAAGGATTAAGAGGCCAATTCAAACACTTGCTATAGGGGCCAGACTCAGAGGTGTGTGTTCATGGATGGATAAATTGATGGTGGGGGTCTAATCTGCCCTGGCCTTGGCCCGGAGCCCTTGTGTGGATTAGACCAGGCCCCAGAAAGCACAGAGAGAGCAGGGCCGCTGGCTAGGATTAAGCAGATTCTAACAGGTGTGTTCTTTTGTAGGGGGAGGGAGTCGTCACTTACTGAACGAGCAAATCATGAAGTAACTGTTTATTACTCATTGACGCCAATGATGCCAAAAGATGTGGATTTGTGCCTGCTAAAAAACATGCTTGGTGATGAGTGTGTGGTGGTGCAAGGTGACATGCAGGAAACTAGTCAAATGAGGCAAAATGGAAAAAGATAAATAAAGAGGTAATAAACTCTCAGATTACTCCCACAAACACTTCGTCATCCCAGCAGATCGGTTGTTGTCATAGCTGGACTGGCCATCGGGCATACCGGGCGTTTGCCCAGTGGGCCACTGGCGATTTTTTGTTTTTATGGGCCGATGGATTTTTTTAAATTTTTTTTTTTTTTTTTTTTTTTTTGTTAGGAAGGATATATATAACGAAAGGTGTTGGATTGGCCAATTGGTCATGATCGACTCTGGGCTGGACCAATTACAGCCGAGGAGGCCGAATGCACCCGCCCCCTTGTTTAGCAATCACGTGATTTTCGCGCATTGCATGCCGTGAACTCGTGGCAAAACAATCCAAGTACCGCATCAAATGCAAGTATTTGCAGCACCGCAAAACGTTCATTCTCCGGTTCCAATACCTTCTTGTTTTTTCTTTGCCGCACAAAAAAGGAATGTACAAAACAAAAGGAGAACAATGCTGGTCCGTACAAAGACAGACTTGATGAAAAGTCAAAGAAAAGATACGAGGAAAAAATCAAAGGTGTGAAAGTGTCAGACCCTTACGAGCACACAGAGGGACAAAAGACGTTAGCGTGCTGCCCAACTTTCACCACGCTCATATTTATAATTACACGGTTCTTGGAGTGAGTGCACACACTCATGAAGTTTAGTAACTTCAGGTCACTGCAACAAGCCCAGGTACAGTTTACCGACGGATGGGTGCAGGACCTTGAAATGCACCGTGTAGAACGAAAGACCATCGTACGAACAAAGGTAAGTTTACCAGTCTCACAAATCGTCTTCATAAATACACATTCGTTAACCGTTTATTAATATAACCTTTGAGCTCAGCGGTAATTAATTAGTAGTGGAAATAATTTCTGGTTCTTTACAGAAATGTAGCAGTGACAATAATATTGTATGCTGTAATCGCACTGGACAATTAGTGATACAAAACAACTGTTTTATCCTGTGAATAAAAGTACCGTAAATGTCGGGCTATAAGCCGCTACTTTTTGCACAAGCTTTGAACCCTGCGGCTTTTAGTCAGGTGCGGCTTTTCTATGGATTGTCCGTGATTTTTGTCATATCGTAAGACGATTTGTTTTGTGTGTTCCGCTGTTGTACGGCACTACGTTGCCTGGCGGAAGGATCGGGGTTCAAGAGTGGTATGTTAGTCACATGTCCGTCCGCCAGGCAACGTAGTGCCGTACGAAGTAGCGCGAAAAACAAACTTCAAAGTAGCGGTACGCGTTCAGCGGGAGTCGTGGATGATGAGCGGCGATAAACTTGCAAGTTATGCCCAAAAAGCAAGTTATGCCCAACTCCACCGGTGGATTCTGACAGCGTGGAAAAGTGTGAAAACATCCACGATCACCAACGGATTTTGAAGGGCTGGACTGCTGCATGATGGAGAGGAGGACACCGCCACGGCCCTTCTGAGGGTGTTCGACTCTGACACTGACAATGAGGATTTCTTTGGTTTTGAAAGTGACAACGAAGGAGAGAAGCGGAGAGTGGATGACGAAGCCATCCTGAGCCTGTTTGTATCCGACACTGGAGAAGAGGACTTTGGTGGTTTTAGTGTGTAGGAAGAAGAGAAAGATGGTGGTGAATGACTGACTTTTCTTCTTGTTAAAGCTGTGTCACTGCACCTGAGCCTAAAAGGTAGTCCGAATCTATTTTTCTGGTGTGCTGTAGGCTACTGTTATGTACTACATGTGCAAATATGTACCCATAACTTGTTTTTCAAAATATTAATAAAAGTGATGTCTCCAAACAGCCATCTCTTTCCTGACAATTCCCTTTGTGCATATTCTCTTACATATGATAAGTCAACATTGAAACACCTGCGGCTTTTGGTCAGGTGCGGCTAATGTATGTACAAAACAGGATTTTCCCCTGATTTTAGCTTGTGCGGCTAATATTCAGGTGCGCTTTGTAGTCCGGGAAATACGGTATATGTTTTTGTCAATGTACCATAATAACAGAAGCGAAACGCAATATTGTGTCAGGACAATTCACTATTTATGCACAATAAATAAAGGAGCATAGCGCGACAATTTCTGTTCAGCGCCAGACTTGCTTGTAACCTATATCACCAATTATGTTAAGAAAAATTACGTATTAACGACTAAAAAACTCTGACCTTTGTGGGAATGCTTGGAGCAGACTAACATGTGAGCTGGAGTGTTCTGAGACGTTATATTTGGTAGGGGAGACCGGGGATAGTTGTAACGTGGGTCAGTTGTAACACTTCCAATTTCTCCAATCAGGGCTAAGTTTCAAATGATGTGACTCATCCTGTGCATGCCCAATTCAGTTCTGCTATCACATGTGAAAAATCAGCACATTTTGTCAAAAACAGACAATTTAACACCAAAAAAAGTAATTTGTATGCCAAAAAGTAAGTCTTTCTACTTTATTTCAATTTATAATAGCATTATCTGCTTTGCAGTTAAAGTCATCAAACTTACATTATGTTATTTGTATGTCTATGGGGATATATTCTGTGTAGGTCTTTAGTGCTAATGTTTTAGCCGTTGGCTGTAATGTTAGCTAGTTCATGGCTATAGGAGTCTGGGTCAGTTGTAACAATAATGCAGATGTTGCAACTTACCACACTATTACTTTAACTTATATTAAACAAGTTGGGGCAACGGCATCAGCAGAGAGAGGTTCACTGGTCACTTTTGTATATGCGGTTAATGCCATTGGCAACACAATTCCTCCACTGTTTGTGTTCCCACACATACACTATGCACACCACTGTGTCAGAGATGGACCAGTAGGAAGTA